TTGCATCTCACAGCATTATTCAAGTGTTAATTCTCCTAGTTATCAGTTATTTATCTCTTGTAAATGTGATACAATTCTTACTAAATAGGGATTCATTATGGTAAATTGCAATACAAGACAACTTTTAGGCTTCAGAAGCCTAATGAGGGGAAATAACCTGTTTGAATATGGTAACAGATCAAGGAAAAACATGTATGTGGGAATCCATGGTCTTTTCTTTGCAAACTTATTTTTTTTTTTTTTAAACAAAATGTTTTTCCTATTAGGGTCGCAGCACTATTAAGGTAATCAGTTGATATTTAGTATTTTTAACCTTTCAGAGAAAACATTTCCACTTTTAAAAAACTCATTTAAAAGATTTTTAAGAAGATTTTTAAAAAGATTATAAAGATATGATGAAAACGTCTTTCACTGCTACGTGGCATGTAATAGCCGTCAGATTATTTTTTTCCAAATTGTTTATTAGCACAGGTTAAATAAAATTCTTTTAAAAATTAGTGTTGGTAAATACTGTATTCAAGGTATGGGACAGAAGTGATATAGACACATGTTTATTTCTTGAAATTTCCCTAAGGACCTTGAAGGTAGGAACCACATCTGATTTTGCTTTACACTGTTTTCCTAGCACCTAGCTCACAGCAGGTGCTCAGTGACTATCTACAGAATGAATAGTTTATTTCTCATGTCTCCTTAAGCCAGGAGATACCTCATTCCATCAACTACCCTTTCATTCTCCAACCTCTCCTTCTCTACTGTCCATTGACCCTCAGCAAAATTGAGCATGCTGATCAAGCAAAACTCTTCTGCTCAGCCAGTCTTCAGCCACCTGTCCTCTGTTCTACCTAGTTCTCTTCACAGCCGAACTATAAGGCATTCTTAGAAATAAGAGGGGCACCTGGGTGGCTCAGTCGCTTAAACGGCCGACTTTGGCTTGGGTCATGATCTCGTGGTCTGTGAGTTCGAGCCCCGCGTCGGGCTCTGTGTTGACAGCTCGGAGCCTGGAGCCTGCTTTGGATTCTGTGTCTCCCTCTCTCTGCCCCTCCCCTGCTCACACTCTTGTCTCTCTCAAAAATAAATAAACATTAACAAAAAAAAAAAAAAAAAAAAAAAAAAAAAAAAAAAAAAGAAAGAAAGAAAAGAAATAAGAGAACTGTGGTAGGGAGACTTATTTTGGTCTCATAGAGGTCCCAGCTCTGACCTTTGCTAAAAGTCCTTCATCCCAGGGATGGAAAGAACAGAAAGATTTCCCCACAGCTCATTTATACCTTCCTGAACCCAGGACTCGGTGTGTAGAAATTATCCATACCTCTGCCCAGTGACAGCTTTGAACTCTAGAAGTGCTGCCGTAAAGGCCTGTCCTCCAAACGGATTCTGACTGACGACCCTTTTCATATAGTAGATGTGCTGCAGTCAGAATTGAGGACACAACCTGAGTGTGCAGTTGTATATGAGGTGGTGATTGTGGCATCTTCTGTGGCCTGAAGAATTACTTGATGAAGTAAAAGAAAGTTTAAGAAATATTACAAAAAAGTCTCCCAACTCTATATAAAGTGGTCTTTTATAAACAGCACAAACTGGAATATACAAAATGAGAATTGAAACTAAATGGAACTTTGGGTGTCGTCTAGGACTTTACGCTGATTCTACGCCATGGCAGAATATTGTTGTGCTGATCCTTCACATCTTAAGCCCAGGAAAAAGAGTAAAAGGAATTTCAAAATGACTTTAAGGGGCAATTAATGTATAACAAAGTGACACTTTGAGAAGCAAACAGTAATATTTATCCGTATTATCTGCTTAGAGATTTGTATCAAGCTTAGCAGTGATCGAACCAGTTTTTTGAAAACATGACATAAATTATGATCCTGATGGTTAAGTGCCGACTCAGAATCGACCCAAGTTTTGAACTGCTGATTCCCTTTTCCTGCAGATATGGCTAACATATAAAATGTGTCAGATTGTGCAACTGACTTTTCATACAATTAAACTAGTGATATTAGGAAATGACTTTAAGATAAACTGTCAACAGCTCCCTTAATAAATGTGAAAACACAAATCTCTTGGACAAAAATACAAATTTTAAGCAAGAACATTAAAAATTTGCAGACCAAATACCAGAGAACAATTGTTTACACTTAGATTATAATATTGACTTGATGATGATATAACTGTGTTTGAATCTTGTATCTAAATGATAAAAGATTCAATTCACTTACTGGCCTGCACTGATTATACCAAAAACAAAAACCTCCAAATGATCCATAGACTGCTTTGACAGGATTTGCTTTAACCCGGAGTAACTTCCAAGAAAAAGTCACATACACAGATCTCAGAACAGAAATGTAAAAATCCATCAAAGAAATCACCCTCAAGAGAAGAGCAGCCTTATTGTGTTATTGTACTATCTTTTTAGGATATCACCAATTTTTGATGACTCACATGACAGGTTAAGATCTAGTGGAAAGAATAGGTACACTTAGCCTAAACTCAGTGTATACATGGTCTCCTTGGGCTTGTACATATGTCTTTGTTCATAGAATATTCACACTTTGGGCCACTGGGTAAGTCACACAAACCTTTTGGCTTCAATATTCTCATTTGTAAAATGGGGACAGTATCTACGAACATCATTTCCCAGGATTACTGGCTAGATGAATTAGTTAGAAAATGGTATTGATGCAAATTAATAAAATCAAGCATTCTTATTTTATGTGCTTTTATTTTTTTTAATGCTTAGTAAGTGTTGAGAGAGTATGCACACACATGAGCAAGGGAGAGGGAGACGGAGGATCTAAAGCGGGCTCTGCATGGACAGTAGAGAGCCCGATGTGGGGCTCGAACTCATGAACCCCAAGATCACGCATGACCTGAGCCAAAGTCAGATACCTGGGCGTCCCTCATTTGATGTGCCTTTTTTAGTATTATTTTTGAGAGGGAGACAGTGCAAGCAGGGGAGGGGCAGAGAGAGAGGGACACAATCTGAAGCGGGCTCCGGGCTCCAAGCTGGAGGTGCAGAGCCTGATGTGGGACTCAAACTCACCAACTGTGAGATCATGACCCGAGTCGGCCATATGCTTAACTGACTGAGCCACCCGGCAACCCTTATGTGCTTTTACTAATAAAAGCTTATACAACTGACAATGCAATAAAGTAAAAGAAGTAACCATATCTGGCTATCTAATGATTTAGAAATGGTTTCAAAGCTTTTTATCATCAATTAGTGTCAGCTCACACAGCTCTGGGAAAGCAAATAATCTTTGAGAAGACTCATCTTCCACACAATTAATAACCTCTCAATTTCTCCAAAGCCAATAAGATAATTCTGAAAGAAAGTAATCCTCTTTTCTTGATCCCTTAAAATTTAAAACGTAGTTTTAACCATATCTTCAATCAGAGTTTCATTGTGTACCAGCTACGGTAGTTCCTTAAAACCCAAGTTTTAAATACTGGTTTCTTTTGGGCCCATAACACAGATATCATATTTATATACTACCAGTAACACAGAGGATGTCTCGGTGTAGAACATTTATTTATTTATTCCATGAAACACTCAAAGTTTAGGTCAGTGGGAAATAATTTTCATCAAAGAATTGTACAATTTCTTCCCACATATCTTGCTTTGTATTAGGAAATGACATTGCGATCCATTTCACTAAAATATTACAAAATATTTACAAGAAAATATTAAAATAACTCAAACACAAAAGGCAAGATGGGGTAAAATAAACTGTTTTTCAGAAATCTCTACTCCAGTGCCCACAGCACACAGAAGAGAATCATAACAAATAAGTAACGAAGATCCCCCCGATCACGTCTCCAAAGAACTGGAGAAGGGGAACAAACGGGATGAAAATGGTGGTATGAAGGGAATGGATGTTAGCAGCACGGCTTCAATAACCAATCTATTCTGAATGAAATAACTCTGTCTTATACGCAACAAATTCTGAACAAGGCTAAATTTTAGGATATTCCTTGAACTGAAATTTAAAAATACCCTGACAGTGAAAGCAGCTCTTTCACTAAGTTTAGTAAGAGCCTCTTTCCCCACGAACCACTCATGTGAACAGAAACCTGTTCTGGCATTAAAAGCTGTCACAGTAGCCCTTCCATTTCTTTCATGAAAGCTTCATAAACATCATCCTTAGTCTGCACGGAGACCGGGACAGATGGACCAGATTTGGGGGCTGCTTTGGCAAGAGGCACAGCAGAATCATCCTCTGACTTTCTTTGGGGAGCAGCAGCGGCCCCTTTATTCTCCCGACGTACCCTCAACGCAGTGGGCACGAATCGAGTAATCTCTGCCTTGGGATTGGTGATCTGTGGCTTGGCACTGATGGTTGCGGTGGCTTTCTTCTCAATGGTGGCTGCGCTTGTATCATCCGCCTTGGGTCGCTGAATCAAGTTGGGTGGAGCACTTAGAACCCCCGGGTTCGGCAAGGGAGCTGGTGGGAAAAGCCCAGGTGGGGCAGGTCCAAGTGGAGGCACCAAAGGTGGGCGCATCATGCCGGGACGGGGTGGAGGGATACCTAAATGAAGGCGAAAACGGGCCGATGAATACTACGTGAAGCCATTTTAACCATTAAAGATGTTAAAAACATAGGTTGACAATTTTTTAAAAATGGGCAATTTAGAAAAAATAAGCTAAAATCATGCTGCTTGCTATTTGAAACTCAGGAATACTTTTTGATAGGAAGGAATATTTTATCATGAAATTGTATTCACTTTCGTTTTTTTTTTTTAAATTTTTTCTTTTTTTAACGTTTATTTATTTTCGAGACAGAGAGAGACAGAGCATGAACGGGGGAGGGTCAGAGAGAGAGGGAGACACAGAATCTGACACAGGCTCCAGGCTCTGAGCGGTCAGCACAGAGCCCGACGCGGGGCTCGAACTCATGGACCGCGAGATCATGACCTGAGCCAAAGTCGGCTGCTTAACCGACTGAGCCACACAGGCGCCCCAGGAAATTGTATTCACTTTCAGTCTGTGTCCCTGTACTTATGTTTTCTTCCTCTCAGAGTAATGTACTATTTTAATCTATAAAGTTGACAACACCAACTGGTTTCAAGTAGGATGTCACCTTTGTCAAATTTCAAATCTGACAGCCCAAGACATTATACTAGCTGTGTAATGCAGATACTATCAAGGCCAAGGTTGGGGGTTTCATTCTCATGCATTATTTACTGATTTCCACACCATTCCTCCCCTGAAAAAAGTAGCCTAATGGGCAGGAAATGTAATTCTAACCTTGGAATGAGAGAATGTAACTAATCACAGTATGTCACCACCACTGGAAAAGAATTCGTGTCCTTTTGATGGTTCAGACATACCATTGTCATTTACCCAGAACCTCCAGATTATTTTTCTTCAAACACCACTTTTAAGATTGAATATAAAGTACCAAATTTCACAGAACCTAAGATGCTATTACTTATACAGACTCATAATTATTCCGGATACCACTGAGAATCCAGGGAGCTTAAAAGGAGGCTTTCACATTAAACCGGGAGTCAATGTAATAAACTAGAAATACACATACCACACAAACTAAGAGTGCAAGGAAATCTGCATATTTCACACTGATATTGGTTAAGAGAGGAGGGGGAATCTGCCTTATAATTTTAAACTTTAAATTCATACTCATGTAAATAAATGGAATGACTTCACAATTAGAAGCGTTGCCTGTCCCTGTCTGTGCAAAACACCCTACTCAAATGGAGAATTTAATCCAAGGTAGTCTTTGGCTGGGAAAAATCCCTCATACGACAGACAGAATCCAATGCAAATACCCTTTGGAAAAACTCAACTTCAACCTACGTCAAAAGCGATTTAAAAACATTTTAGAATACCCCTTGACTTCAGGATATCGAAATGTGACAATATGTCTTAGAGCAGGATGAAGTATGTGGTAGTCAAATTTTTGTAGTATAAATCAAAATCAAGAGCTTTACCTGGAGGCGCAGGGGGAGGTAGCCTTGGTGGGGGTCCCCGAGGAGGAGGGCCAGGAGGCAGACCTGGAGGTGGACCTGGGGGAGGACCAGGGGGCCGGCCTGGGGGTGGGCCTGGAGGTAAAAGTCGGGGTAAAGGCCCTCGGAGCCCTGGCATTCCAGGTGGTCTCAGGAATGGAGGAGCTCCTGTAAAGAGAAAAACGGCAAATTAGCGTAAGACAAATAACGTATGAAGTAGGTAACTGTGGTATACAGGTAACTCCGATGTGGTCTGACTTATCATTTTAACTTGAAATCAGGTAACTTCAAAAACTGACCAAAACATATGTGGAAACTGAATTCATTCAACAAATATCTGAGCACCAGATAGGGTAGTAATTTTGTTATGGATCATTTCTCTTTATATCCCAGCACTGAAAAAAAACATACTCAATCACAGCTCTGCTGGGCTAGAAATTGTACAAAGATGAGAAGAATTCTTAAATTTCCAAAATAAAGCTGAAAATGGAATACAGAGCAGGGTGCTTTAAGAATTCCCCTGAAACACAATAAGATATTGACAAGGACCACTGAAAAGGGCGTAAGACAGGTAATTTGCTTTTGCACCACCAATTGGAAAAGGATAAACTCAAGTGAAAAAACTTAACTGGCCAACTGCAGGATGAAGAACTATAAAATCATAAATGGCCAAGAAGTTCGCATTTTAAATAAACTTCTTATACTGGTATGCCAAACTACATTAATACTGATCACTTTTATCTCTGAAGACTGACATCCAACAATTCCCAACCAAAGAAGGATACTTGATAGTATTTACTGTGCCCTAGTCTCACTAGCTATCAATTTAGAATTCGGCCAACCTGTCATATTAAAAAGCAGTACTAAAGAAACCCCCAGTTTCGTATTCCAGTTTCTGCCTGCGAACGTCAGAAGTAAAGAACCCTGAAAAAAGAAGATCTTTGGAGAAAAAGACGGCTGTCGTAAGTACTATGAATTGCAAACAGTGCTGTAGGAATAAATCGCACTTATCCTTTCTCTCTTAGGGTATCAGGAGAAAACATCAGCACTAATGATGTATATTTTTGAAATGACTTCATCATTCTAATCACAGAGAGATGTAATTATTTTTCACAATACCGAAGTGCTAATTTACCTGGAGGTGGTCCAGGAGGAAGGCCAGTAGGTGGTCCAGGTGGCCGTAAAGGTGGAGCAGGGGGTGGTCCAAGAGGAGGTGGTCCTGGCATGGGAGGTGCTTGTATCTGAGAAGGAGGAACAGACTGTGGGGGAGCTTGCTGCTGTGAAGAGGCAGCAGATGTGCCATCAGAAAGAGATTCCTCTTTATGCTGTTTCTGTGATTGCTTTTCCGCTTCAGAATCATCAGAATCATCTTCATCATCATCCTCTGAAAATTCTTCTACTTCTCGTCCCTCCTCTGGGATTTCCTGACCTAAAGGAAATTTTAAACCAGGTAAATGGGACTGATTCATTTTTTACAGTCTGCAAAAAAGTGATGCCTGAAGACACATGCTCAGTTCAGTGCTTTCTTACAATTATCTCAATAGTCTTCTTCAGTAAAATACTTAGATGTGGAAGAATCAAACAGTATTCCACTCATCTATGTTAGTGGAGCAGAGGGAAATAAGCCCAGGCTTTTGAACAAGACCGACCTGGATCTAAATGCCAGTGTAACAACTTACTAGCCGGACAACTCTGGACAGCTTACCTTAATGTCTCCAAACCTAAAACAGGATTTATTATTTGCTTTAGGGTTGCTGAGACACTAAATGGGAAACCATATGTAAAGGAACTAGCAGGAGGAAATATCCAAAAGGTGATTTCACGCCTCTTTCCCAGTTTTACCTGCCATTCGAAGCATCATGGCTTGAAGAGGAGTCAGCTCCTTCATGCTCTTCTTTTTCTTCCTTGATTTTCCAGGCATATCCGCAAATCTTACACTCAGACCTTAGGGGCCAAGGGAAGGAGAGAATGGGGTAGATCAGGAACAACAAAATTCAGTAAATGCTTACTATATAATGCTATAAAGCACCAGATATGATGGCTGCCCACTATTTGGCAGAAGTTAAGTGCTGAAAGAGCCGTATAAAAGGTAATAGAAGAAGTGCCCACTGGTGGTAAACATATGCAATTGTGATTTCAAATCCATCAATTTTAAAAACTTGAAGAATACCATCAATATCTTTATGCCTGTAAAACTGAAAACCCTGATAAAAGACAGTTCTCTCTAAAAATATAAATTACAAAAATTGGCCAAAGACCAGAATTTATAAAATTGAAGTGGTAGTTAAAAATCTTTTTCTAACCTGGCCCAAATAATTTTTACAAGGAACTTCAGGCAAACATGGGAGTTACAGAAATTTCCTGTAAAAGGGCACAGGACAAGATGGAATGCAATCCAGAACTCATGAAGCCAGCACAACCCTGATACCAAAACTAACCTACTATAAAATACAGTTGACCCTCGAACAACATGGGTTTGAATTGAGTGGGTCCACTTACGCATGGATTTTTTTTGTGATATAGTACAGTACTGTAACTGTACTTTCCTTATGAATTAGCCTACTTTATTGCATGACTGTAGTATATAATACACACAACAGACAAAATGTGTGTTCATCAATGGTTTGTGTTATCGGTAAAACTTCGGTCAGCACTAGGCTATTAAGTTTTGGGGGAACCAAAAGTTATGCACGGATGTTCTGATTGCACACAGGGTCGGAGCTCCTAACCCCGGTGTTGTTATACCCACCTGTATAACCAAACAGAATCTAACAGTGTTTTAAAAGAAAAATACATCATAAACATGTAGGGTTGGTCCCAGAAATGCAAGGTGAGGTTTAACATTAGAGAAGCCATGAATATAGTTCATCACATTAAACAACTTAAAAACCATAACAACATCCCAACAGATGCTTCAAAATATTTATTACAAACTCTTAGCAAAGTAGGACTAGAAGGGACCTTTTTAACCTGATAAATCAAGCTATCTACTAGACGCTATTAAACATGTTGCCAAAGGGTACAACATTGGAAGCAATCTTTGTTGGTAAACATTTACAAAGTTCCATGTGGGCAGGGCTTTAGTTGTGTTCACTTTGTATCCTTTGTCTAGGAAAATTCCTTGCATACAGTACAAAATGAACAAATATTAGATGAATGTCAAGTCATAGTTAGGATAGCCACTTTCAGCACATGTACACTGATGAGTATGTATGAGTAACAAAAGGTGGCAGGAAAAGGGAAAAATGAGGCAAAGGATCACACAATGCCAGAGAAAAATGGAGCTGCTGTGGCTCTAAGGACTTGCTATTTTTGAGTGCTAGCTCCTATGTAAGTCCTCCGTAACTTTTCGTTACCAGCTCTAAGGAAAGATCTGTCATCGTTATAAATACATCAGTAGTATTACTAACACATAAATATGGTATTGTAGGTTACAAAAACAATTTTAAAAGAAACTGCAAGACTACAGAGGTGTGAGAGATTATTATACGTTTTGCACTGCTCAGTTTCTATCATGATGCTTAACATTTTCTTGATGAATATCATAACTACTTTTTAAAAGTACACGTAACTCAGTCCGATTTTGTAATAATCAAATGGACACATAACCTACATTTTGGATGTTTCCATTATATCATGACTCACTTGCAAGTGTACCTGAATTATAATTGTGGTCTGGTTCATGTGAAGACACAATGAACACAGAAAATTTAAGTTATTTAAACAGACTTATTAAAAAACAAACAAACTAACAATGTGAATATGGCTTTCTCAGTATGGTTGTGTGCTTATTCTTTTTTCCTACACATCCCCATAAAAGTACATCCTCATGCTGTTGAAATAGGTATTTTTCTCCCCAAGTGGACTTTATTACATAGGCTTCTTTATTACATACACTGCTTAATTTATTTTTCCATCACAAACATCCACCGAGTACTTAGTATGTGTCAAGAACTTTTTTAAGATTGAGATATAAAGATGAATGGAGCTATGATCCTTCCTTTCAAGATATTCACAATTATTTTTACAGATGTGTTAACAAATCAAGACCTTTGTCTTGTGTGTTCATTGATCAATACCATGGACCTTTCATCAGGACATACCTGACTTTTTTTCTTCATTGTTGTCTCTTTCGTTATCATCACGGTGCACAAATTCATCCCCTTCACTTTCTCCATCTGATCTGTCAGTGTCGCTGTCATCAGTACTGTCATCATGCTTATCTTGATCCATGTCCTCAGGATACCCATCATCTTCACTGGTGCTGGAAACATCGTCGTCATGACCCCGTTGAGCTGACAAAGTAGGAGGGAGCAGGAAACAAGTATTACTATTGGATCCTCCACATACACACGGGGTCTCAGAGCACAGAAAACTATTATTTAACTCAGAATGACCTACCTGTTTCTGTAGGTTCTGTATATGAACCTACAGATTCTGGTTCTGTATATGAACCAGAAAGATTCTGTATATGATATGAGCTGTTCATACCGTCTAACAATATTTCCATATGGTAACAGTTTTAAAACCTTTTTGATAACGTAAGGTATTTTTTAAAAGGTTTAAATTTGAAAACAAATTCTATATGTGGAAACTTGGATGCACACACATATACAAGATACTTGTTTACATAGAGAACATATAAAACTATGTTCTAGTCTGAGGGCAATAAAACTGAAAAGGAAACAAGTATCTGAATCTTAAGGGATTGTTAGTAAGAAGGTGACATCTCTTAATAGAGCCTATTTTAAAACACAATAAACATTTCTATACTTCCTTATGTATGATGCTTTTACTTAAGCAAATTCTGTGACTTATCCGTCTGTTAGTATGTACATGTAATCCTCATTCATTTTCCAAGTTCTGAGGATGGTAAACAAGATGTTAAACAGGGCCAGCTTAAAAAATGACGGTAGAAAGGTTGTTAAAAGCAAAAGAAACAGTCACTCCTTACCAAGTTCCGGACTATATAACATGTCTTCATCCCGCCTACGAGGGGGAAGATCTAGAGCAAAGCCCACTTTACGGCCATACATTTGCAAGACTTGAGGAGGTGGTGGGCCAGGGGGAGGACCAGGAGGTTTTCTGCCAGGGGGCAAACGTGGAACACCATGACCGAGAAGAGGAAGTATAGAAACTGCCCGCGTTGGAGGTCTATGAAGAAAATTTTACAGTTACCACGTTAATAATGAGAAGATATTTATTTCCTCTCTTCAAACATTTTTAAGGGATTTCTTCACATTTAATCAGGCGGGGCACCACTTACATTCACGTTGCCTTTCATTTCCACTACAATAATTTTGGCACTGGATAGTCAAAAGGTACTTTTAATAAATGCTATCTGATGATGCTACCGCTTCCTTACCCATAGGCTGAGGTCTTTTTAAGGATGGAGGGTGGCTGGGCACCAGGAAGTGGAATGTCCTGGATCAGAATGTTGGAAGGAGCATGCGGCATATCTGGCAAGGGAATACTCTCCACTTCCACGTGCTGAGCATTCTGAAACAAAATTTTTCAATGGTATGATAAGAGCAAGCCACAAACTCAACACTAAAAATTAACCACCTGCTGCTTCATAAACTGGATTTGCTTTCCACTTAACGTAAGTATCAGGAAAAAATATCAATACCAATATTTGTCAATATTTCCAAAACCTGTCAATGAATGGAAAAAAAATCCTTATCACCTCTAAAAGAGACAAACTCTGCTGCTCTTCTCCCTCCTATCATCAACTTATCCTTTTGGGTTATGGTTTGAAATAGCTGTTTATGGAAATCCAACTATTAAAAGTATCTAGCACCAAAGCCACCCTTTTAAATATTCTGGATGATAAATAGCACTTACCAATTAACTTAGAAATAGCATATAACCCGTGGAAGAGCTTGGGTTTCTAAAGTTAGTCTGCCTTCGTTTAATTTCTGCCACACACTAGCTGTGTGACTAAGCAAAGTTACTTTAGTTTCCTTATCTATAAAGCAGGACCGATACTACCTACTTTATAACAACTATATCTTTTTTTTTTTTACATTTTTGAAACAAAATTCACAGTGAAACGTATAAATTCTGTTTTGACAAATGCATATAGTTCATATTCCTGTCGATCCCTAACAATATCCCATAGCAACCACTGTTATTAATTTTTTCATCCACAGATTAGTTTTGTCTATTCTAGAATGTCATACAAATGGAGTAACTATGAAAGAAGTTCAACATGTTTTGACATATATCCATGAAAAAATTTTTTTATCCCATGTGGTTTTGAGTATCAGTAGGTCATTCTTTATTGCTGAGTACATTCAATTTTATAAATATACTAGTTTGTTTATCCATTATCCTATTAATGGACATGTGGGCTATTTCCAGTTTTTGGCTATTACTGTGTTGGCAGATGGATTAACTTCTCTTGTGTAAATATGTAGCATTAGATTTGCTGGCTCATGGAGAAGGTCTATGTTTAGTTTGACAAGAAATTGCCAAGGGGCACCTGGGTGATTCAGTCGGTTAAGTGCCTGACTTCAGCTCAGGTCATGATCTCATGGTTCGTGAGTTCGAGTCCCACACCCGGCTCTGTGCTGACAGCTCAGAACCTGGAGCCTGCTTTGGATGGTTTGTCTCCCTCTCTCTCTCTGCCCCTCCCTGGCTTGTGCTCTCTCTCCCAAGAATAAACATTAAAAAAAAAAATTTGTCAAGAGGAAGAATATGACCAATTCTCACACTGTCAATTTTAAGAGCAAATCTAAAAACATTTTAGTTTCTCTAAAAGAAACTTGATTACCTTGACAGCATCAAAATACTGGCTAAGTTGAGCCCTCTTCTGTTCATATTCTACTTCTAGCTTTCTCAATTCTTTGTAAATATCCGGATTCTCTTTTTCATAGAGTCGTAGAATACGTTCAAAGGTTTCACGCAGCTTTTTACGCTTGTCTTTCAGCACCTTCTCATTTAACTGTGGTTGCTGCACTGGGTTAAACTCTGAAAGAAAAGAGTAGATATTCAAATTAAACATAAAAACTTGTTTCATTTAGGTTATCAACTAACTATATAATTTAATATAATCTCCCTATATGCTAAAACTTTTAAAAGGGACCTAGACCAGGTATATTACTTCTAAAATTTACTATAAAGTGCAACAGACATTTGTTGAAATTCCACCCTTTTAAGAAAGCCATTAATTTTACTTTCTTTTATAAAAACAGCACCTAATTGATTTCATAATCACTGTAATAAAAATCGATTTTCATTCCCTTACGCTAACAACTTGCTATATAGTGAGGCTTCAATCAGACCTGACTCTTTAATTCTTTCTTTAATTCTGAGATCCTGGGCACTTGACTTGAATTCTGTGACCTTTAACTTCTTCATCTGGAAAATGGGGACATCAACTACTTTACAACAAAGTCTGATGACTTAATGGGATCACAAATAAAATATCCAGTAGTGTCTACCTCACCACTTAATTATTTTTATAGTGGACTGGTGTCTAGTTACCATACAATCCTTTCTCTTTCCATGTATTCAACATAGGGCTTCATTTCAAGTCTTCTGCCCCAAGAGGGATTATCAGCACAAGACTCCCAGGCTTGCCTGGTCAATTATACCTGCCTCCCTCCACTCCCCCTGCCAGTGACTGACTCAGAGATCAAATGGCACATGATCCAAACTGAAACTAGATACTTCTCTGAGATTTTAAATGTGGATGTGGAGATTTTAAGTGTGGATCCCTCACAGGAGGGATAAAATAAACCTAAAGCTGTGACCTTGTGTCCCACTAATTCCACACACACATATTTCACCTTCCATCCCAAGAAGTTCATTAGCAATATACTGAATGAGGCTAACAAGAGAGTAGACCAGACAGACACATGAGAGCTTCCCTCTGGGATTTACCAACTATGGGAGTCAATGTACATATTTTCTCTGCCTAAACTAGTTTATACTGAGTTTTATAAACTGTGTTAAGTTTTATAAATTGTAATTAGAAACCTGATCAACAGTGTTCCCTTCTTTTTTTACAGATAGCAAGTTTAATTATCTTCTTCCCTAAATCCTATTAACCTTGGTGATTTATTTGGAAGATACAGTCTTACATCACACACTATTCTTAGTGTGATTAATACAAGTGTTGAATGCCGGAGTTTTAATCCCAGCTTGCCACTTCCTAACAGCACAACCTTGAGTAAAGTATGTGCCTGAGTTTCCTCACTCATAAAACATGTGGAACACACCTACCCAAAAGCTGTTGCAAGGGTTAAATAACATCTGGAAAAAAATTGGTAAATAGCAAGATAAGAGCTCAATAAACCTCAACTGTGACGATTATCTCCTTTAAAACCACAAAAATCATTGAAGTCATGTTAATAGGTAATGTCTTGACATCTCAGGGACAGCAATTGTCCATAGTAATATTTAACGCAGAGGCAACAAGTGGGATCAGCTACACATGAACTGGGAAACATCTGGGATCACTCAATCTGACCCAGAACTCTTGCCCCAGCTAAATGCACAAGATTTGCCACATTATTTAACAAAACTTCTAATACCATAATCCCACATAACTGGATTTTAAAAATTCATTTAATGTATTGTTGAGACCCACTGTACCTCTTTTGCTTACTATCTGAGTTTTGGCAAACCACTAAAACTGGGAACCTTTGCTAACAAAACTTGGAAAAATCATTTCATTATGCAATTAAAAAAAAAAAAGGTAGAAGCAAATGTCCATGAACAAATAAATGGATACAGATGTGGTATATACATACAATGGAGTATTACTCGGCAATCAAAAAGAATGAAACCTTGCCATTTGTAACAACGTGGATGGAACCAGAGTATATTATGCTATGTGAAATCAGAGAAAGACAAATATCCTATGACTTCACTCACATGTGGAATTTATGATACAAAACAGATGAAGGGAAGCAAAAATCACACAAATATAGGGAGGGGGACAAAACATAAGAGACTCTTAAATACTGAGAACAAATGGAAGGTTGCTGGATGGGGTGTAGGTGGGGCGATGGGCTCAATGGGCAAGAGGCAATAAAGGAGGACACTTGTTGGGATGAGCACTGGGTGTTATACACAGAGGGATGAATCACTGGCTTCTACTCCTAAACTCATTAATGCACTACATGCTAACTTGGATGTAAATTAAAAAAAATAAAAATTAAATTAAAAAAAGGTAAAGGAGGCAGAAAAATAAAAAATCCCATGTTCTGAATGGATCTTTGTGGGTTGGGATAAAATTTCCAGTGGTAGCATCACACAGACAATTCTCAAGCAACTTTGAATCAAGGAAAGATAACAAGTTATTTGTATGATTCCAGTTATAAAAAAACTTGTGACATTGAAGATGCATATGAAGAAACTGAGTAAAATTACTCAAAGAAATGTGAAAAAAGGGAGAAATCCTAATACAATATTCTATAAAATTAGATTTTAAGTATCTGATGACTTCTACCACCTTACTAAGTGGGTCAAGTGTCTGATCTTCTCATTGGGAAAAATGGGAAACTGATAAATTCATGGTGGGGTAATACTTAGATGTACGTTGTAGTTGCCAAAATTAAAAACCAAAACAAACAAAAACCTCCAGAATTCAGTCTTGTCTGGAAAACAGGCTTTCATTACTTCAATAACAATTAGTTCAAGCTAAATAAATGGGATTCATCTTACACTGGGTAAGATCTTCAGTGTGCAAATCGCTCCCTACCCCTCCATTTTAGTCTTCCTGATACTAAAACTAAGCCTAACTGTCAAATGTCATCATACTTTTGTTTTACTCATGCCTGTGCTGCTCTCCTCATTACCTGCTTGCCTGCCTCCATGTATAAGACTGTTATACCTGCTATGAAATCTAGCCTTTTATAAATTCTTACCCATTTCATCCAATTTCTCCATGTCTCGGATAATCTGTTTGGGATCCTTCATCTTTAAAACTGCAGCTCGTACCATCATGCGCTGTTTTTTGTTCTTAGAGAAACAAAAGAGCACTATGTCAAGAAACTGGACACCCATATGAGTTTTTATTTCCATTTGCATCAAGAATCTGAATCTATTTGAAATGAAGCCAAACTTCTCCTCGGTTTCTGATCTCGTTTCAACCACCACAACCAAAGCTATGTAATTTTTTGCTCTCAAATATTTCAACTTTAGACAAAAAGATAAATGAGCATTACTATGTGTGCTTTCTTAGGCAAGTATTTCCTTCAATTTTGTGAGGTCTTTAGCAATTACTTAAAAAAATCTTAGTTTTTTTAAGCTTAATTCTAAAACTATATATTAGAGAAAAGTTTTGCAGATTTGATACTGAACAATGAACTAAGAAAACCCCATTAAAAGCTATTAAAAATCTGCATTCTCTCAATGTGTTAAGGCATGATACTAAAAAGTAAATACTTTTTTATTCTGGGAAACACTTTGCCACAAACTCGACAGCTACAAAATGAAAAAAAAAAACCCACAAAACTATTTAGAACCATATTTATTTCCATTCACTAATTCAGTAGCTTTTAACAGAGCAATATGCCTTAATAGCAAAAAGAAATTCCTTTCAAAGATATTTAACTCACTGGGAAAGATAATCAAATAGACAATGTTACAATAACTCCTCATGAGCTTAACTGCAAAGTTTTTTCAGTTCTGTTTCCAAATATGGTATTTTGGCTTAGTAATTTTATGGTTTGTTAGAAGCAGTATGAAGTATCTTTCCTGACAAAAAACTGTAAATGTTGTTCTGAAATCCACTAATCCCAAATAGTAAGATGTGCCAAACATCACTATGCCTCATAGGATGCTTCTGAAATCATACCTTCTTTAATTCTCTCTTCCGGGCTTCTTTTCCTTTAGAGACAGAGAAAACATAAAACTTTCAAATCTTGAACACTAACATTTTCTCCAACTTAATACAGATTAATTCTTATTGTGGGAGGTTGTCCTATGCACTCCAGAATATTTAGGAGCATTTGTGGGCTCTACCCATTAGATGCCAACAGCACCCTTTAATTATGTCAACCAAAAATGTCCTGAGAAGTTTTTGTTTTAAGCTTCTTAAAAAGTAACTATGAATCTGAAAGAAAAAGATGTCACTCTCTCTGCCCTTTCCCCGATCATGCACACACTCTCTCAAAATAAATAAATAAACTTAAAAAAAAATATGGGTACTAATTTTTTTGCATGTTTAAAGTTTTCATCATGTACTCCCAAGAACACTGGATAACTTCATACAACTGACTCCTACCATGGCTGGTTTTATAATTAAGGCATAATAGATTCTCTAATGTTTGCAATTTTATCACTCCTCTTCTTTATCATTCCATACTAATGGACACTTACGGGCTTGGTCTGTAGGGTTCATAAATTTTCCACTCTTGGTGGATGATGTAGATCTCCGTCCCATGTTGACAACTTGTATGATTTACTTGTTCATAAAAAAAAAAAAAAAAAAAAAAAAAAAACCAAAAACCTGCAAAGACAAAGAAATAGCTTATTTTTCCTCTATTTACAAAGTGTCTTCCATTTTATGTTACAAAACTTCTACCAATCTCTTGAAAAGAAACATTCCTTTGATTATTAACTTTTTAAAATGGATCACAACAGACCGACTCTGTCAACTGAAAAGAATCAGAATATGCTTTGACAATATGGGGACAAATCATGCCTACGAAAAACCATTAGATCTTTTCCTACACCCTTGGTTTCTATTTAGGGTGAAAGGGGAATCAAAAGAGAATGGTGGTAATAATGTGAGTTCAAAAAAACAGATAGCTCATTCTTGTCTCTCTCCATGGTTTTTCTTGTCATGTATTCCCAACATCTTTAAGATAGTAAAAACTCATTAATTTAAGGCTGTTTAATTCAGATTTCATTCTAATTCAGATAGAATTCTTGGCTCTCAAGAGCTTAAAACATAACTAAAGGTGCAAATATTAAAAATGAAAAGTATTATATGAAGAAGTGTCCAAGAATGTCAAGACACACATTTTTACTAGCACCCACTTGATTCCTGATTTGTGCTTTTTAAGATAACTGAAAGGGATGATCGTGCTTGAGAGAAAATATTTTGCAAGTCAAGATTTTTACTAATCTGAGACATTATTATATTACTTTTCTCTTGTTCCAATTAAGGTTTAACTTTTTAATGCTCACCCTTCCCAATAATAAAGTTGACAAACTTACTTTCTTTTGAAAGTAGACATTTATCTTTTTAAATTTTTTTTTACACATTTCTTTCTTTTTGAGAGAGAGAGAGAGAGAGAGAGAGAGAGAGCAAGCAGGGGAGGGGCAGAGAGAGGGAGACACAGAATCCGAAGCAGGCTCCAGGCTGTCAGCACAGAGCCCGACGCGGGGTTCGAACCCTCAAACCGTGGGATCGTGACCTGAGCCGAAGTCGGACTCTTAAGTGACTGAGCCACCCAGGCACCCCTGAAAGTAGACTTTTAAAGGGTGGGAAAGGGAAGATCATGAGATAAAATTTTTAGTAGCCTATACAAGTAATTATACCTCCCCTTCTTCCTCGTATGAAGATTTTGTCAAGAAAAGTTCACTAGTTAATGCCTCTTTCAGCAAGTGTTCAAATGCCTTGATTTCTGCTAAATGCTTCAAAGCTTTTCCAGTGGCAACTAATTCATCCTGCGCAGGATTTCCTTCACAGAAAAAACTGGGAGTCGGGGAGAAAGGAGGTGGGAACAAGCAGCATTAGTAGAAATATAGGCTCCCCTAATCTTTGATGACTTGTATCTTTTTTGCTGTGTTCTCAAGTACTCTCAGGCTCCTGTTTTGACCTTCCTCTCCCGCAACTGTAACAAAGAACAGATACTAATTACAGAGGATTTCTACAGAAGACCATGGAGCCTTAGTCTGCACGAACTACTTTTGGTTTAAAAGCAGAAACGACAGGGAAACTGGGCCACAAAACCGTGGGGAAACTAAATTTAACCGAAGAGGCAGCAGTGGGACGGAGCCCAGTTTACCAAGGGAAGCAACAGCAGCAGCAACTGCCGAAACCATAGCGACGGTTGACCCTGACTCGAGGTACAAGAAGACGTCAAATCTAAAGCGGCCGGTCAACGAGCACAGGCAGGAGGTGGCGCTAACTGACTCGGGTGAACAGCTGCTGAAACGCTGGAAGCCGCACCGCCCTTGGCTCGAAGATCCCCCGGTCCGCGACCCGGGAGACCCAACCGCGAGGAAGAGCGGAGCTGACGGGCCTGGTGTCCCCGAGGCAAACGCGCGGGCCCGGAGAAGGGTCGGGAGAGATGAAGGAACGGAGTGGAACAATCCTGCACACTCACACTTCTGCTGGGTTCCTGGGACTGCAGGAAGCGGGGATGGGACGATTCTTGGCCTCTTTTACCTCGTAGGGGCCTTCACCTCTGCCTCCCGGTCAGCAACCCTGCCACCGCCATCTTGAAACCTCGCGCCCCTCCGCCATGCTTACGTCACTTCCTATCCCTATTGCCGAAGATCTAAGCGTTTCTCCGCCCTTGGTACCATAGAGAGGAACCAAGAACTCCCGGACCAGAGTCTTCTTCCGCTCCGGATTAATACCGAATTGGTTGACTTTCTGGTAAGAGCCCGCCCCCCATTGCGCGGAAACACGTTAATTGACACTTCTTTAGACCAATAGAAATAAGGAAAGCGAAGCAAGTGGGCTAGGTGATTGGCTGATGAGAAGACTACTTTCCCTCTAGGACCGAGACATTCTGACTTAATTTCCGGGGTCTCCGTCACGTTGAGTTGGACGGGACGATTCCAGTTAGCTGTTTTGCGGTGTTTCTTTTGGCCAGAATTATATTAGTTTTTGGATTTTGGATTTTTTCGTGATGTAAGCGCGTGCTGTCTCTTTTGGTTGTGTCTGTTTGAGAGCGGGCCCCCAAATTGCACTTGGTACTGTGTTTGTTGCTCTTTGCTAGCGTCATGTCGGTCTGGAAATTTTATAGGCACACAGAACATTTTGTAGATTTGAGCAAGTTAGTGCCCGTTTTAGAGTTCCAGATTGTTCATCTACGATAAATTAATCTACAGTAATCTACAATAAATTTTTGAGGAGGAAATGTGGAGATACGTCTGCAATTTTAAATCTAGAAGTGGCGAGGTTGATTTATGTTGCCTCCTTTCCCTTTTGGTCTTTTCACCATCTAGAAGTCCTTTATGATGTCACTATACCTATATACGGATTTTCACTTAGGTCTAGTCTTTCATCCTTCCCTGCTATCTGCGGTTTGTCTGAGACTCCCCCTTTCCCCTTAAAGGTAAGCTCAAATATTTAAAAATTTTACTTTTAAAAGACTCCCTTGGTTATTTCTGATTTTAATATCCCTTAATAGGAAAATATTTTAGATATAGTTCTTACTACCAATTATTGTAAATACTCCAACATTGAAGGAGATACATACTAATCTTAGCAGCAGAATATTTAAATGTGCACTTAAGCATTTAAGATCGGTACCTTACCTAAACTACCCTTTGTTTTAGAAAGTTTCCCGGTTTGGTTTTGGACCGAATTTTGAGTCCCAGAAAGAGCATTAACAAGGTATTGTAGTTTAGAACTTGAAAGTTAGGTAATAAAAAAATAAGCTTTAATTTTGAATGTGAACAAATTTAGTTTGCAACTAAGTTTAAGAAGCAGTGACAGAAGAGAAAATGAGTACATTTTGAAACATTAAAGTATTTCATCTAGCTTTTTAATTTTGGGGACATGATGAGATTTTAAAATCTCAAGACATTTCTTGTACTTTTATGCAAAAAATAAACTGTAACAAACACATTCTTGCATCAACAACTTATTAATAATTTTGTGAATAGAACCTAAGAGTCTCAATGGGTAGTTATTGGCGAAAAAACACTTGTGTCTGTAGAAATTAACTGAACCATTAGGCCTCATTAACCTCTGGATTTTTCTGAAATCAGGTAATTAATGAAATGGGCTACCTAACGTTTTATGTAGCAGAGGCAGCTCCCATTCTGATAGTATTGAAAATGAAATTTCATTTTTCTGAAAACTCAGGGTAATAAAAATTATGACTCTCCTTTAAATGACAAAGTGACAAATTCTTAAGAGAGTAACAGCTTCCTCCCCTGCATCCTAAATGCATGTTATGTAAGTGTAGCTGGGGTTTGCATGTTTTCTTTTTAAATGTTCCAGAGAGTTCACACGTTCACATGAGGGATATTTAATCATCACACCACAGTTGGTCAGGGTTGATTGCCATTATAGAAACAGAGCCTTTATCTTTTTAGTTTTAACGTTTATCTTTTAAAAAATCCATCCAGGTTATAGCGTGTGATTAGTAGAAGGTAAAGAACCATTGTGTTCTTTCATGATTGAATTGTTGCAAAACCATATTTCAGTCTCTTCCAGTTTATAGAAAATTGGATTTAAACTGATGAACAAAATTATGGTTGCATTTCTATTTCATTCAAAGGTCACAGTTTGTCTAGGCAGCAGTTACCAAGTATATCGCCTTAGAACTAAATGATGTCTGAAGCTAGTAGTAGAAACAAAAGTCAGTGTAAATTTTAAAGATTTGAGGAATTAGAAAAGGAAAAGGTAACCCTTATACCTGCTCTTCTTCAATAGCATTAAACCTAGTGTTGATCTGGTAGAGCAGTGTAAGAAGGTATCCTGGGATATAATTTTACCTCACAGGGTCTAGCACCAGCTGATTTAGGCATTCATTGTTGATACAAAACTCTAGAGGCATCTAGTTTCAGCATCTCTAAACCATCTTTCCACGTTGTTAACTGTATTTATGTCCATGTTGGAAACATACAGAAAATGAACCTAATCAAAGAAGCAGAACACTGTTGTTGAGAAGCAGAAGTGGCACAGTGGCTGTTTATTTCATTTGGTGTTTCACTATGTTGGTGACTTCGGTAATGGCATGATGATATTTTTCTGAAGCTGACTTGAATTCCACCAGATGCTTCTCATAACTTTTAATGGCTGCTTGAAGCTGTGTTTTCTCCACTGCTCCCAGGATAGCACGGAAAATCATATCTATGCCAAGGCCAAGAACAGCAACCCCTATACTACCAAGGAGAGAAGCGCCAATTTGAGCTAACACGGTGACCAACTTGTTAATTATGCCAGTTGTGACATTTGAGCCCACAAGTTTGACAGCCACTGCACTGGCTGCAGAAGTAGCTTCTCCCAGGATGACTGAAATGACCTTTTGTACTATTGCAATTTTCTCTGTTTCCCTTTCTTTAATATCCTGAAGTTTTCTGTAAAGGGTTGGCTCTAGTTTATCTTTCAGTGCTTCATCAACCTTTTGCAATTCTTTTTGGATTTCCATCATGGCTTGGATGATGATATCACAGTTTTCCTTGATGGTCCCATCTCTTTTCATCTCAATGGAGGCCAGGCTGCACCGCAAGTGCGTGTTTAAAACCCCAATGAGCTTATTGGTGGCGTTGAAGCTATCAGATAAGCAGTCAAGAAGCTGCTGGTGAAGACGGTTGACTTCTTGCCTTCTCCTTGGGTTATCTGGGTAGAGGAAGTCACTGTGAGCCATATTTCAAATATAACTTCTGAAAAATAAAGTAGTAAATATTCACTAAAACTTTTGAAAAATATCTGTTGTCTGCATACATTTGACCAGGAAATCTTATACTTTATGAATAGAAAAATAGCACTGTGCTAAGGAATTCCTCAGAAAATTCAACAGGTTCCTCAAAACAATTAGTTTTATGAAACTTAGAGTCAGTGGATGGAAATGTGGGTAACAGAATGCAACCTGTTGGTGCATTAATTAGGGCACTAGCTTTTTGTGGTGGAGAGAAATCCTAGATAGGAAACATTTGTGTTTATCAAGTATCTTATTTGACATGTGATTATTTCCAAGTAATATTTAATAGCATTTGACATACTGTGTAGTTAGCCCTTGGTTTCCAGTGCTCCTTAATTTTCCCAAGCCCTAGTCACCTACCAGATTGATTTGTTTAATATTTGGAGTTAAGTTACTAGGGCCAGAAGAATAGTAAGATCTGAGTTTACAGGGCTATTAATATTTGATTTTGCTTGTATACTGTTACTTTATACTATTCAAGTCACTCTGTATATCCTTACAGGCAATTATTTGGTCTCTAAACGCAGGGGCCATCCAAAGGCAACACAGATATAACATTAGAATCTTTACACAAAATTTTCACAATAAGAGCACATATTCAAAATTCTTTAGATTAAAATCTCCCTTGGGGAGAAAGTGTTCATGGTGCCGGACACAGTGTAGTTATGACTACCTCTGTAGTGTCCGTTTGTAAATCTTGTAAGTTATTTAGACTGGTCTGTAGTGCACTTGGGCACTATTAAGTTTAGCTAGAGGGAGGGGCGCCTGGGTGGCTCAGTTGGTTGGGTAACCGACTTCGGCTCAGGTCATGACCTCACAGTTTGTGAGTTCGAGCCCCGCGTCAGGCTCTGTGCTGACAGCTCACATCCTGCAGCCTATTTCAGATTCTGTGTCTCCCCCTCTCTCTACCCTTCCCCTGCTCACGCTCTGTGTCTCTCTGTCTTTCAATAATAAATGTTAAAAAAAAAAATTAAAAAAAAAAGATTAGCTAGAGAGATGCCTGGGTGCCTCAGCCAGTTAAACGTCTTACTCTTCATTTCGGCTCAGGTCATGATCTCAGTTTGTGATATTGAGCCCTGTGTGGCCTCCACGCTGACAGCATGGGGCCTGCTTGGAATTCTCACTCTCCTTTTCCCTGCTTTCTCGCTGTCTTTCTCCTCTCTCTCTCTCAAAAAAAAAAAAAAAAAAAAAAAAAAAAAAAAAAAAAAAAGAGCTAGCCTCAGTAAGAAGACAATACCATTTCGTGAAGGTAGTAAGGAATGACTAGCAAGAATGCACCATCAAATAAATAAAATGAATCTGGTAGGAGCCTCCTTGTGTTTGTACTTCTGGTTCAGGGTACTATGTAGAGAAAAAACGAACAATCACGTTCTGAGTTTATTTGGGTGAAAAAGTTTGAGTCCTGTAAGAACAATGTTACTCCTTATGCATTTGAATAGGCTTACTATGTGCTCGGCCAGTCTATTTTTAGTTTAAAATTCTCTTGGGAGAAAAGAGAAAATGAAATCTGTATGGGGCCTGGCACATTCTGTCTTGAGTAAACAACATCCTGAGGAATTCAGGCCCTATCTATTCTGGGACCATGGGTCTTGGCCTAGATATGAGGAACCTCACAAGCATGGAATGAAGGAATGGAGATACTTTTTTCTCAAGAAAATAAATATGAAAATAACCTATTCTCCAAGTCATAAAGATATCATTTGAAAATGGAAAGGGGTACACTTTTTAAAAATGGATAGGGAACATAATTATTTATGCTTTCAAATTTAGAAAAAAAATGTCTCAGTACCCCTGATAGCATAAATTATCATGGCAAAAAATTCATTTTTTAAAAAAGTCTATTGATTTATTTGGAGAGAGTAAGAGTGCAAGTGGGGGAGGAGCAGAGAGAAAGGAAGAGAAAGAATCCCAAGCAGACTCCATGCTGCCAGTACAGAGCTGGACGCAGGACTCGAACCCACAATTCTTGAGATCATGACCCGGGCCTAAATCAAGAGTTAGACCCTCAACCAATGGAGCCATCCAGGTGCCCTAGTCAGAAATTCATTTTTATATTTGATTCAGATCCGGCACACCCATGTGTTACACAAATTGCCACAAAACTGTACTTAGAAAATATCTCAAGTTCAATTAAAGAAATGGCTGAGGGTTTATTAAATACTCCCCAAACACACCATTGGGTTGCAAACTGCACTTCAATAACCACGAATCTGGACTTTGATTTCTCTTTTATCTTCTTGAAATTTTCCCTTAAACTTGTTTCTATTTTTGGCTCTGAGTTTTCAGATATTATCATGAAGTGAAAACTCCAGTTTCTGACTTTGAATTCAGAAGATCATCAACTACATTGCTATTCAGATATTTAGGTGAGAGGAGTCGTTCTTACCCTGAAAAAGCATAAAATATCTCTAGCATCTATCCTATGCCATTATCTGAAGGCATGGCTTCCAGAAAAGGTGTGTGGTCCTATGTATGTAAAGATAAACAAATGGAGAGATGAGTCTTCCTTCTGGGTGGGAGGGTGAATGCTTCCAAGTGGTCAGTTTCTTCCCAGTTAATTCACTGTGTTAGCACAACTTGATGAATGTATCATAAAGTAACAATTAATCAGGATGTTGTTTACCTGAGGAGAATATGTACCAGATCCCACACAGATACAGAGGACTCCATTTTCTCTTTATTTTCTCCCAAGGGTTTAAACAAAACTAAATAGGTGAGGTTTCCTATTTTTCCAGGAAAAGTAATGATGGGAATTTTTCCTCCCTCAGTATTAAAACATGAAAACAATCAGTATTGTACGGGTATAAGAATAGATGAACTCCTGGAACAAAACAGTTCTGAAAACAGACCCTTTTATATATTTGATAAATAATAAACATAGAATCTCAAGTCGACAGTAATTGAAATTATTATTCTATAAATGTTCCTGGCATAATAGACTAGTTTGGGGAGGTTAAAAATTAATTTTAAAAAGTTAATGTAATATATGTAAAAAATTATAAAGTAGCTAGAAGAAAATGGATAATTTTCAGATGTTGATATGGAGGAGGACTTTATACACTTAAAGCCAAAGTAAAAAGTTACACAAAAATTTGATTAACAAGGATGACCATGTAAAAAGAACTAAAAGCAAACTGGGAAACGTGCAAGAAAAATGAAGTATGAATTTTCAAAGAGTGTTGTAATAAATAAGAAAAACAGTAGTAATCTAATAGCTAAATGAGCAAACAACTTTAAACAGGACAGTAAAAGAATAGTAACTAATTAATTGATGAAAAAACTTAAATCTTACCTGAAAGACAGTATTTCAATTATATTTTCTTTCTTTTATATACCCAAGGCGTTACACCTGCACTTTTATACCCTTCTTCCCAGTTTCCAGATATCAAGCTATAATTTTGTGCCAGTAACAATTTTGAATAAGAGACACCATGACTTGCTCAGAATTGTTTTTCAAATCTAATCAAAAATGACTTTTATTTTTTCTGAGTTGGGCTTACCTTTCTAGCTCCTTTTCTCTTGGGGAAGGGTGTTGAAAAGGTTCCTCTGGTACTGAATAAGTTCAAGATTATTTTTATCCCAACAGTGAGGTAAACACTAGAGAATTAGGTGGAGGAGAGGTAGGGTTTTAAGGTGAAACTAATGAATTATTTTTGGACACGTGAAATTTGAAGAAGCTGGTGAAGGAAGTAGTTTAATAATTCAGTAACAATTTATCTAATGGACTAGTACCTTACTATGTATAAGAAAGCATGCTAGGCTCTATAAAGCACACAAAAATGAAAAAGTACACGGTCCCTGCTTTTATGGCATTTCCAATCTAGTTAGGTAGTTAAGACATTTAAAAGTACACGTGGAGTTGAAAGTAATGTGTCATTTGAAATTATAGGCTTGGCGCTTGACTTGTGCACATTCAAATTTTATTTTATTTTAATTTTTTTTTACCAGTTTCGACAAATTATTTATTATATTTTTTTATTTCTATTCTGTTCTAAATATTTATTGTCAAGTTAGCTAACATACAGTGTGCTCTTATTTCAGGAGTAGGTTCCCATGATTCATCACTTACATGCAACCAGTGCTCATCCCAACAAGTGCCCTCCTCAATGCCCATCACCATTTTCCCCTCCCCTCACCCCCCCATCAACCCTCAGTTTGTTCTCTGTATCTTAGAGTCTCCTATGGTTTGCCTCCCTCTCTGTTTGAAACTATTTTTTCCCCTTCCCTTCCCCCATGGTCTTCTGTTAAGTTTCTCAAGTTCCACATATGAGTGAAAACATATGATATCTGTCTTTCTCTGACTGACTTATTTCACTTAGCATAATACCTTCCAGTTCCATCCACGTGGCTGCCAATGGCAGGATTTCATTCTTTCTCACTGCCAAGTAGTATTCCATTGTGTATATAAACCACATCTTCTTTATCACATTCAAATTTTGAACAACCCACAGGTTAATATATATTAACACTGGGGCCATATGGAAATATTCAGTCATCTAGGAAAGGTTAACAATTTGTACACTTTAAAGCTGTTACTCTTAAATAAGTGTTTGATATTTAGAGGAGAGGTTGTAAACCACATGGAAAAACAGCTGACAATATGCAGCATTTCTACTATTGCCCATGACAATTTAGCTTCGACTCTCAAATTGCTTACTTGACTCAGCAAAACAAAAGCCTTGCAATTAGTTGGAGCCACTCTTCTTCTTCTTCTTTTTTAAATCTTTATTTATTTTTGAGAGAGACAGAGCGAGACCGGGGGAGGGTCAGAGAGAGAGAGGGAGACACAGAATCTGAAGCAGGCTCCAGGCTCTGAGCTGTCAGCACAGAGCCTGATGCAGGGCTCGAACTCACAGACCATGATGAGATCATGACCTGAGATGAAGTCAGACACTTAATCGACAGAGCCATCCGGGTGCCTTGGAGCCACCCTTCTTGAAGATCAT